ACTTAAATGTGTTTCAGTTCTAAAAATTATAGAAGTACCAATAGCAAAGAAAATATGACTAAATATCCAGGAATGAAAGCAAATCAGAATCCTTTGGGTGTGGAATTAGAAGAGACTCAAGAGATCATTTTGTGGCCCTCTACAAAAGTAATCAGTTTATCAACCCACCAAGTGGGAAAAAATATTTGCAAGTCATATATTTGACAAAGGGTTAATCTCTATACTATATAAAGAACTCACACATCTCAACAACAAAAAATCAAACAACCAGATGAAAAATTGGGCAGGGGACATGAACAGACATTTCTCCAAAGAAGATATATGGATGGCCAATAGGCACATGAAAAGATGCTCATCATTACTAATCTTCAGGGAAATGCAAATCAAAACTACACTAAGATATCACCTTACACCCATTAGAATGGCAACAATAAGCAAAACAAAAAGTGACAAATGTTGGAGAGGTTGTGGAGAAATAGGAACCCACATACACTGCTGGTGGGAATGCAAACTGGTGCAGCCACTATGGAAAACAGTATGGAGATTTCTCAAAAAATTAAAAATAGAAATACCGTATGACCCAGCCGTCCCACTACTGGGTATCTATCCAAAGAACTTGAAATCAGCAATTCCAAAAGTCCCATGCACCCCTATGTTCATTGCAGCATTATTTACAATAGCCAAGACGTGGAAGCAACCTAAGTGCCCATCAACTGATGATTGGATAAAGAAGATATGGTGTATATATATACAATGGAATACTACTCAGCCATAAAAAAAGATAAAATCTCCCATTCACAACAACATGGATGGACCTTGAAGGTATTATGTTAAGTGAAATAAGCCAGATAGGGGAAGACAATCTCTGTATGACTCCACTCATATGTGGAAGTTAAACACAGAGACAAAGAGAACAGACTAGTGGTTACCAGGAGAAAGGGGGAGTGGGGGTTGGGCACGAAGGGTGAAGGGGTACACCTACAACATGACTGACAAACAATAATGTACAACTGAAATTTCACAAGGTTGTAAACTTTATAATCTTAATAAAAAGTAAAAAAAAAAAAAATCAGTTTATGACATTATCAGCTTCCTTTACACCATTCCCAGAGAGAAATGTCACCAGTTACTTCTAAATTATGCCTCGGGTTCCCACCACTGAACAGGGAACTTAATTATAAAAACAAATATAATATCTCTGACATATTCCAGCCCCTACCCCCCACTCCCACTCCACAGTCTGAGGCCATTTGTGCTGGCCCACTTTCAAGTAGTTGAGGGCAAAGCTCAGGGCCCAAATCTCATTGTGTAAAGTATTAGTGTAAACATTAATCTGTCTGGAATCTAATGACATTTTAATTGCTCCAGCCTTGGCTAGCCTGGGGCATTTACTCTCTACTCCTCTTTAGTGGTGGTGGTGGTGGTGGTCTGTGGAGAAGTGCTATTGACAAAGGATGCTTCAAATTTCAAACTTTACAAAATTTCTGAAGACATTTTTTTATTGAACAAAAAAAGACCTCTTAGACAAAACATTTTGTTTTCATAGTCTCAGGCTTTCTATACTTGAATTTTCTCATCTCCTTTACAACTAAAATCAGTGTGTAAATGCTTTTATTAAAATGCAGAAGATTTGTGCTGTTTGACGCTTTTCAAGAGCTTAGAGAAGAGTAGGTTTATTTGCAGCTATCTTATATTCATTTTTCTGTTATCTTCAGGATTAATTGATTTGCTTCAAATAAGATTTTTGTACTACCTGCATCAGAGAGAATTTCAAAACCTCAGTAGAGAACTTAAAGAAATAGAGAATGTACAGAAAGTATCACAGCAAACAAATATTTATCTTTCTTTATTTTACTTTGCAAGTTATTCCAAAGAGGCTTCTAAATAGTGTGAAACACATGGTTGTAGAAATAAACCAAAATCAACCAAATGAGAAAAGCAAAAGCTATTCACTCAGAGCTTGCTAAAGCAAGGGTGTGCTAGTTTGCAAACTTGAGTGCTTCCTGGTGAAATCTGAAAGTGGCCGCTGTACACGGAGGGCAAGGGGAGATGGAAGAAAGAGACAGAACATCTCAGATTGGTAGGTGTCGGTTCTAATGAGCAAGGCATCTTACTTACCTGGTTTGTCTGTGGCGCCGCAAGGCAGGTAGATCTCCACACCTGCTCACCAGAATCTTAACCTTTTATCTAGAGGCCTTACCTGGGCTCTAGATAGTCACATACACCATCTAGATTGTCTAGGTGGTCACATGCACCATCCAGGTGGTCTCAACAACATGTTGCTCTCTCAAGGTTGCGTTCTTGAAAATGGCTCCAGCTGTACTGAATGTGCATTTCAAGGACCGGGAGCAGGTGAGAGGCCTCTGAGTGCCGGGTCCAGCTTGCAGGTCAACAGGGGTCATGTCCTCTTACAAACTTACACGCCCCCCTCTTCTGCAATGGCCCCGAGTGGCCAGCAAGGGCTTCACTACTGTGGAGGAGGCTCGTTTGGTGGATATCTGGCTGCACTGGAGGCAGATACCACAGCAGCAATAAAGGCACAAGCAAGAGAAAACACGGATCAGGATAACGATTCCCAAAATAAGTAACGATTTTTTCCGCCAAGAGCCCCATGATCTGAAGTCCCCAGTCAAACCAGGACTCATAAAATGGCAGGCTCGCTTCCTGGGCAGTTTCTTAGACATAAGGGGGTTGGTTTCCTGGGCTGGCTGAGGCAGGCTGTGAGTCAGAGTTTTTTTTGTATATATGGGCCAGCCGTTTGTACATTCATCTCTCAAGGTCACGTGATGCCATTTTGTAGAGAAGGAAGGACGGATTTTTCTCCTCCTTTTCTTATAAACTCGTATTGTCGTGAATGTAAGCATGCCTGAGGTTTAAAGGAATTCAGAATGAATCTGGAATAGTTTCAGCATATCAGCTGCTCTTTTTTGTGTCCAGTTTAATTGTGCTACAATTAGACTCTGTATTTGAGGAAGAATTGCATCCCTTAGCCAATAGACACAAGGAGAATGTAATGGAGATCAATATAGAGGAGAAAAGTCTAAAAGCAAATGAAAATAGACTCAAGAGTAGCGATCGGTGCTTTCTTTGGGAAGGACTCTCACAGTGACTGGTCATCTGGCTTTAACCCAAGAAAAAGAGTCATGGGGGATGCTCAGCAAGGTGGTGGAAAGAGAAATAGCACAAATAGGAATAATAATGAGGGTCAATAATTCTTTTTTTTTTTTGAGGAAGATTAGCCCTGAGCTAACTACTGCCAGTCCTCCTCTTTTTGCTGAGAAAGCCTGGCCCTGAGCTAACATCCGTGCCCATCTTCCTCTACTTTATACATGGGACGCCTACCACAGCATGGCATGCCAAGCGGTGCTATGTCCACATCCGGGATCCAAACCGGTGAACCCCGGGCCTCTGAGAAGCCGAACGTGTGAATTTAACCGCTGCGCCACTGGACCGGCCTTGAGGCTCAATCATTCTAATTAGCGCTTAATTTTCTTACTATCCAAAGTGGTTAGAATGATCTTCATCTGCACCAGCCAGTGTCCCGCTCTGTCCTTTCCTTCACCAACTCTAAATTGGGTATTTCTATAATTCTGAGACTAACCACAAGCTCTCATCCTCATTAAGAGAGAAAACAGAGACTTACAGGACAAAATCAGTTGACCCAAAGAAAATAATAAATTGCAAGGAAAATAAGAGGTTTAAAGAAAATGTTATTAATGATATCACGAAAAAGAAGTGCAGTGGAAATGTTGTCCTCTTTTTGCATAGTGCACTCCATAACTAATATCTCCAAGTAGACCAGAAGTTTTCAAACCTTAATCTTCTCTTTTTTAAAAGTAACTGCAATTTAATACACCTAATATGTACCATCTGTACCAAGAGAGTGGCAGACAAGTCAAAACTGACTGGTCTTGGGAAGAAAATGTTGAAATATGCTTTAGCTAGGGAAAGCTAATTGGCATCCAGCTTAAAATACTCAAGAAATTAGCCTATGCTGCCAAGCCATTTGCTCTTACTAAGAAACACTGGAAGACAGGACAGCTGTGCTGTGCTTGAAAAGGGCAAAAGTTATGTTCAATTTTAATGAAAAATTGTGATAGCCCTATAAATTGTAGACTATTCAGCTTCACTTACAGACCCAGAAAGACACTGGGTTTAATCTTCACATAATCAATGCAAAAACATCAACAATGCCAAGCAGAGAAGAAAGCTCAGCCTGACTCTGTGCAGAGGAAATCTCACCAAACTCATTTACCATTCCAGGACAGCCTGCCAGCCTATGTAGACAAGGCGAATACAACTGATGAAATGCTGTGGACTTGAATAAGATTTTAATTCTATAACACCCGATTTTTTCATCAAAAAGAAAAAGATCTAGGGGGCCAGGCCAGTCGCGCAGTGGTTAAGTTTGCACAGTCCACTTCGGTGGCCCGGGGTTCGCTGGTTCAGATCCTGGGTGTGGACCTACACACCGCCTGTCAAGCCATGCTGTAGCAGGCATCCCACATACAAAATAGAGGAAGATGGGCATGGCTGTTAGCTCAGGGCCAGTCTTCTTCAGCAAAAATAGGAGGATTGGCAGCAGATGTTAGCTCAGGGCTAATCTTTCTCAAAAAAAAAAAAGAGATTTAGAGTTGTAGTGTAGAATTTGTAAAACTGAGGTAAAGGCTTATATCCAAAGGGTTCAAATGCTCAAGGTCTCAATATTGCTGCAAGGAATAGGAGTGCCCCATTTAAAGGCAGATATTTTGGTCACCACCTACAGCCTCCTGAAGCCCCACCATGGTTAGTCAGGTCAAGGCACCTTTCTCCCCAGCAGATGGCTGGATGTCAGCCCCCACTTATGCCTCACCAACAGCCCTGTACAGGACACAACTATATAAGCAGGCAGCCTGATTAAAATCCCCTCCACCTTTTCTCTTATCCTCCTTTGCTGCTTTATTTTTCTCCACAACAAATAACAGCTTGTAACATACAATATAAATAGTTATCTTGTTTATTTTTGGTCTCACACTAGAATATATGCTCCATGATGACAAGGATTTTTGTCTGTTTTGTTCACTCTCGTCGTCGCCAGCACCTGCTGTGCCTGATTAATCATCGGAGGGCTCAGTAAATATTTGTTGAAGAAACTAGAAAGGAAATGGATCAGATCAAATGAAATAAATGAAGGCAAACAAAATTACATTTTAAGGCAAAAGGAAGAGGATATCCTTGTTATCCCCTGACCTGTCAATAGTGTTCTACCATGGTAGCCAAAGTCAAAAGATGACCAATGGGACTCGTCACCCTTGATCTAGACCTGAATACCAGGGCATGGCATTAAAGTCTTCCCTTTTCCTCCTCTTTTTGGCCCTCCTCTTGGCTCTGCCTGAATTCACCAATACCAAGCCCATTTCTAAGGCAGTGTGATAAGTACGCCCTCTAGTGACATGCCACTCTGCAAAAGTCTGTGAAACCAGGATGAATTGGGGAGACCAGGCTCATCATTTCCCCCTATTTAAAAGCAGCATTATTTCTGAAGGATTTCTAGGCAATTTCCACATAGCAAAAGTTACAGCTAAATAGCACTATTTTAAGTGGGGGATGGGGAAGAGAGAAGTGAAGACTTGATTCAAAGACAAACAGAAGAGCCACCATTTAATTTTGTGCCAGTCATCCTAAAATCTAAGCATGCTGCTTCTGATAAAGGTGTACATTTTATTTTCTTCAGCAAAATAAACATGTAATTGGGCCGGCCCGGTGGCTGAGTGGTTAAGTTTGCGCATTCTGCTTCTTTGGCCCAGGGTTTCACCAGTTTGAATCCTGGACGCAGACATGGCACCACTCATCAAGCCATGCTAAGGCGGCATCACACATGCCACAACTAGAAGGACCCACAAGTAAAAATACACAACTACGTACCAGGGGGCTTTCGGAGAAAAAGGAAAAAATAAAATCTTTAAAAATAAATAAATAAACATGCAATTGTCTTCCATCTTAAAAAAACCAAAAATCAGAAAAATTCTCTTCCTTGAGCTTGCACCTCTTCCAGCTGCACTAATCTCTTGCCTTTCTTTCATAGCCACCTTTCAGGATGAAATGGCCTTGAGTCACTGTCTTTCCTTTCTTACCTCCAAACGCCATACATTTCAACTCACTTCAGTCAGGCTTCCAGCCACATCCACTCCTGCTTCTCCTCTCTCGCAAGTTGCTCTTTCTCCATCCTTTTGCTGGATCTTTTTGCTCAGCTCTTAGGTAGCGGTGTCTCCTCTTAGCCCTCTCTTTATATACTATTCTTGGACAATGATATTCGCTCCTTGGAATCAGGTCAGGAACCCAGCCCAGACTTCTCTGCAGAACTCCAGATTATTATCCCACAGGGGTCATCTCCTCCTGGATGGCCTTGAGTCATATCAAAATTAAGCACACTAAACCTAAATCTTAAACTCTAATACAAAAACCTCTCATGATCTTTTCCCTTCCCAAACTGCTCCTCCTTTTTTGGGCCCCCTCATCTGTGAACGACATTGTTGTCCTCTAAGTCCAGGCAAACCATCTCAGAGTTGTCCTTGACTCCTCTCTCGCCCTCAGCTCCCACACCAAATGTCATGGTTTCAGGTTGAATTCTCTGGAAAGCAGACTCTGAGAGGGAGGTTGGTGGGTGGAAAGCTTACTAAGGAGTGCCCTTGGGACCAACGCCTGTAGAAGAAAAAAAAATCAAGCAGGATCCAGCAAGAGGAGAAGGGAAGTGAGGCTTTAATGCAGGCCTTAACTGACACCATGGGGAGCCCTGAAGCTAGAGTGACTTTTCAGAGTTACTTTGAAATGGGTCTAGATGGCAAGGCATTTGTATTCCCACATCAGTACCAGCCACACGACTTGCAGGGTCCAGTGCAAAATGAAAATGTAAGACTCTTTGTTTAAAAATTAGGGTTTCCGGGGCTGGCTCCATGGCTGAGTGGTTATGTTCGCTCTCCACTGCAGGCAGCCCAGTGTTTCGTTGGTTCGAATCCTGGGCGCGGACATGGCACTGCTCATCAAACCACGCTGAGGCAGCGTCTCACGTGCCACAACTAGAAGGACCCACAATGAAGAATATACAACTGTGTACTGGGGGGCTTTGGGGAGAAAAAGGAAAAAATAAAATCTTTAAAAAAAAAAAATTAAGGTTTCCAAGAGGGTGACAGTCGAGCATTAAACCAAGCCCTAGGCCTCTTCTGCACCTGGGGCCCTGGGTGACTGCGCAGGTCACCCAGACATAAAGCTAGACCTGTTCAGAGACGACTACAAAATAAAATGTGGCATTGGAAGCAATAACCATTCTAAGCGGAAAATCTGTAAGATGCCATAGTCTAACAAGTTGCCCTCTTTCATCATCTCTCCCTCACAAAATAAACAGAAATGTAATGTAAGGATCATACACACTTGATCTGAAGACTTTTTTCACATTTGATTATTTCTCAAATCTAAATGCACCTTACAATTAGCATATGTGTTTATGTATAAGCAAAATGGCTATGAATAAATGAGAGGTGAACTGCACAGTCTCAGATAGCAAAGGAAATAAGATATGTCTTGTCATATTTAGAGCATTCACTTGTGTCTACCAGTGGACTATAATCCAATAAAATGACAGAAGGTCCACCAGCACTCTGGCAAAGACAGTCACAGAATTCCGAAGGATGTGTTCGTGTCCAAGGCTATGAGATCTGACCAACACAGGCCTATTCAGCAACCCTTTCACAGTGCGTAAATTACCTCTAGGAGCAACTCCTTCAAGTTAGCGGAGAACATTTCCTCATTAAACACACTCATCTCAGTGAGATATAAATATGTAAAATACTAAGTTAGAGTGTGAAAAGACCACAATAAAGAGCAACTAATTCTTAATCATCAGATATTGATTTTAAACATGAAATTATGTATATATGTGCATATATATTTATATAGAAACATATATATTTCTAGGTAACATTATTATACCTGTGTTTAAAAAGAAGATATCACAATGAACACATTATTTTGCAACTTGCTTTTTTATCCAAAAGACGCCTGTTCCACAGACATTTCCCGCACTGACAGACACATTGATTTCTTCTAAGCTTTTCTATTTCAAATGAGCTTCAGAATATCTCTAAAGGCACATTAGAAACTGGTACCCATCCTAGTTGCCTCCAGGAGGACAAATCATTGAATAGACAGCTGGGTTTGAGAAGGACACTTTTCCCTGAACATCTTTTTATGCTATTTGAATTTTTTTCCACGTGAAAATAATAACAATTTTGGTTTTTATTTTAAAAAGTTTCAAATACAATATCAGTAATGTGTAATCATTAAAAGTGAAAAACGAAAAACAAAGCTGCAATGCACGTGCCTTCTTGGGTGTGTTTTTTTGGTTACAATCTCCCAGGCACGGTGTTAAGAGCTGTGCATATACTGCCTCATTTTGCCTCACTTAATCTTTATAGTCGTCTTTCTAGACAGGTATTATTGTCGCCACTTTACAGATAAGGAAACTGAGTGTGAGCAAATTAGTTAATTTTCTTGATTCACAGAGAGAGAGAACTACAAAACCAGATTTAAACCAGACCCTTCTGGCTCAAAAACCCTTGCTTGCAGCCACTTAGCTGTAATGGCAGCTTCTTCTCCAGAGATGAATCCTCAACTCTGCTGCCTCTGGCTGTGCTGCGACTTTGGGAATCGTTTACAGGAATCTAGTGAGCCAGGTCTTCTCATGCCTCAGGACTTTCGCACATTCCATCCTTTCTGTGTACTTACCTTTCCCTCTTGGTTAATTCCTATCCAACCTTCAACGCTCAACTCACATTTCATCTCCTCTTGCAATCTTTCCCTAAACCTCACACTGAGATGAATGCCCTTGGTCTGCCTTTTGCAGCATCCTGTGCTACCAGTGTGTTCAAAAAGCTGTCGGATCACCCTTTGTCTCTCAGCTGACACATCCTTGGGGTCAGGAAACCTAAATATGCTTTGTATTACTAGTCCCAGTGCTAGTAATATATAGCATATGAGGCCCTCAATCACTGTATGTGGAATTCAAGTCAAGGCCTAATATGTACAAAGAACCATAGGATGTGAGAACTAATTCAGTTTCCAACCCTGGCTGCACACTAACCTCAGGAGCTTTTAAAATAGGTTATCTAGCCTTGCCCTAGAGCTAATAAATCAGAGCAGCCACAGGTAGAACTCCACAATCTGCATTATTCAAAAAGCTTTCCGGGTGACGCCAAGTTTGGAAATCTCTGATCTATTCTACTGTCTCATTTTATGAAATATGGAGATTAAGGCCTCAGCAGGTTAAATAACTGGTCAAGATTACACAGACAGAGGTATAGATAAGGCTTGAACCCTAGTCTCTCGACTTCCAGCTGCTTTACTTAATCACTCAAAATCACTAGGTATTTGTTAAATGCCTCCGGTGTGAAAAGCACTGGGCTGGGCCCTGGAGATAGAGCGGCCGATACACCAGACCCAGTGCCTGTGCCAGAGTTCGCACTGTAACGGGGAAGACAGCTTTAAACACACGACCGTATAACCAATTGCTTAACTGACTGTATTAAAGGAGTGCCTGGTGGTATATACACATATAACTGGGGAACCCGACTTAGTTCTGGGGTTGAAGGTTGTCACATAAATCTTACTTGAGCTGAGCCCTGAGGAGTATATACACAGAAACAATTAGGCTGGTGTTTCTCAACCCAAGCTGTTCTTGGGCCCACGGGTCCTCTATGAGACTTCTGTTAATTTTCCGTTTTCATTTTGATGACAACCTTAAAAATTAACAGAAACGTTTTCTAGATCATTGTTTTTACAACTGATTTCTGCCCAAAGCTTTAAAAGCCCATGTTGGCCATGTGTCTTTTTGATTGAATTGGCCACAAGTAGTACAACTCTGTCTCAGGCTAATGTGAAAAGAGGAGAGACCAACTTAATATGTAAATGTTGCCTTCCTGCCGAGACCATGCAAGCTGTGAGAATGAATGTTTCAGGGGCTGGCCTGGTGCCAGAGTGGTTAAGTTCATGTGCTCCACTTCAGCGGCCCTGGGTTCACCAGTTCAGATCCCAGGCACGGACCATCACAACATTAACCCAGCCTGTGGTGGTGTCCCACGTACAAAATAGATGAAGGTTGGCATAGATGTTACCTTAGGGGCAGCCTTACTCACTAAAGGAAAAAAAGAAAAGAATGAAGTTGTGACGGCAGTTCACGTAGAGGGGAGTGTGGGTGAAATGTGTCATCGCTCAGCACCTGTGGGCAGGTCATGCTGAACTCAAAAGAACCTGGGCCATTGCATAGTCAACAAAACTTCATCTATCCCACTAAATTCATAATGTGACTTGTTATTTGCAAAAGAATGCAGCAAATCTGTGCAAAAATAAGCAAAAAATAAATAACCTGCATATCTCTGGAGATATTTGTTCCCCTTTGGGACGGGGAACTTCAAGGCTGAGACAACGGGTGGGAGGGAGAATATTTTTTTTTACAATAAACCCTTCCGTGCATTTTTAGTAATTATATAATTCCTTTCTTTTTAGTTACTGTTTTTATTTTGGATGTGATGTTGTATATGAATTGTCAACATAAGGAGTTACAATTTTATGTTTGTACTATTTTATATTACAATAAAATAAATCGATATTTGGATCCAAGAAGTTACATATATTTTCCTTTAAAGTGATTCATACATTACACAGTAGGTAAGGGGGAGTATACACGCACGTTGGGGGGTCAGAGGGAAGAAGCACCTTCCCCTCCCCACCCCCCACCCCTACCCCCACAGAGAGGCTCCTGGAGAGAAAGTCGCCACAGGAAGAACTCCAAGGAGGCCCTGAGCATGGCTGGCACAGAACCAGCAGGGGGCAGGCAAGGCAGGTCAGTCCGTACCCCCCCCCCCCCCCCCCGCCACCCCGCAGCGGGCCACAGCCAGGAGTTGAGCCTTTTCCCTAAGCACCATGAGAAGCCCTTGGTCTTTACATCATATCAAGCATTTTAGAAATCAGTTTTTGTTGTAGGCATTTGAAATTCTAAAATCACATGATTTTAAGTATAACTTGTTTCTCTCCAATTTCATCCAAAATATTAATATTTTATGATACCCAGGTGAGTAAGGAACGATATTATTTGAACAGGGTAAAAAAGATGACAAGTTTACAGACTGATAGGCAGACCTGCTCTGTCCAGTACAGCAGCTACTAGCCACGTGTAGCCAGAGGGCAGTGGAACTGGGGCTGGTTCCAGTGGAAGTGGTCTCCAAGCATGCAGTGCTCACCAAATTTCAAAGAACTGATACCAAAAAAGATTATAAAAATCACATTAAAATATGTTTACATTGATTACCTGTTGAAATGACGAGATATATTGAGGTAAATAAAATATGTTACTAAAGCTTGTTCACCTGTTTCTTTTTATTTTTTTAATGTGGTCACAAGTAAATTTAATAGTGTGCATGTGGCTCACATTATATTTCTATTTGGAGAAACTTGATCTATAATTTTCATACTAGTACATGCATTTTTAAAAATCATAAAATTCGCGGTATATACCTGGCACCCCTCTAAGCACTGTTCCATGTGTTAATGCACATAATCCTCATGTGAGCCTGATGAAATAGGCACTTTTCTTACCCCATTTTGAGGATTAATAAACTGAAGTGCAGACGCTGCATAGAACATTTTTGGAAGAATACACGAGAAACTGACGACAGTGGTGGTCTCTTTAGGAAGAAATGGGGATTAAGGTGTTGAAATAAGTTTCTAGGCCCAAATGGAGCCACTCTAGTCCTGGGGGCCACAGCAGCAAACCAAAACTCTGATAATATTTGTGTCCCTGTAAATGCTCCACTTGACTAGAAATGCAGTATATCCAGTCATCAACCCTCAAACATTGAGCCGACTCAGGGCCCTGTACTCGCTTCCTTGGTCCTTATCCTTTATCCTATAAGAGCTTCCTGCATCCACGCCATTTTGCAGTACTCTGTACCCTTGGGAACAGAGATGGCCTGCTTCATGTTTGTATGACCTAAAGTGTGTTCTTTTTTTTTTTTTTAATTTTTTTTTAGGAAGATTAGTCCTGAGCTAACATCTGCTGCCAATCCTCCTCTTTTTGCTGAGGAAGACTGGCCCTGAGCTAACATCTGTGCCCATCTTCCTCTACTTTATATTTGGGACACCTACCACAGCATGGCATGCCAAGTGCTGCCATGTCTGCACCCGGGATCTGAATCAGCGAACCCTGGACCGCCAAAGCGGAACATGTGCACTTAACTGCTGCGCCACCGAACCGGCCCCTAAAGTGTGTTCTTTAATCACCTAAAGGTCAGGGATAAAAGGGAGATTGATTTTCAATGTTTATCTTTTCGTACAGACTGAATTTTGTTGCAACGTGAATACGTCATTAGCTACCACTTCAATTTAAATATAAAAATATATAGGGACAATCCACTAAACCAGGGTTAAAAGCACAAATTCAAGTACAATTGAGTACTCGATTCAGAGCAACTGAGAGAGCATCGCTGGAAATCAGAACATAAAAACCGCTGAAGAATTTGCACCTTCCAGTCTCATCACGCGCGTCTTCCTGGCTCATTACTTGTCAGCTGCCAAAGTGACTGTGTTTCCAGAGTATGCAGTTGGTCTCAGTGCCCAAGCTCTCACACCGAGGAGCCGGGATCAGCAGTCGCTTCCTCGGATCACACTTTTCACCAGGACAAGAGGCCTGAAGAGAGCAAAAGCATCTTGCTTCAGTTTCTGCCTGCAGTCTTCTCACATAAACTGGTAATGTTCTTCCTTAATGTGAATGTGAATTCAGCTTCTGCAATGTGTATGAGTTCACTAACATTTTCCTAAAAACATGGATTACCAGTCCTGTGTGAGCCAAGGTCAGGCTCACTATGGCTGAGTAGGTGATCCATTTGTTTCAAACATGCTTCTATGCTAATCACCATGATGGGAGAAACCCAGATTGTTAAGATCTCTGAGCTAACAGCCTGCGCTTACTGACGATTTACTCTGTCTCTCTGTCTCTCATTCTCTCTCTCCATGTGTATATATATATACCTGACCAATACTCCTCTCATTCATTTTCACTGCGTGTGTGTCCCTCTGTGTGTCAGGCTCTTTTCTAGGAGCTGGGGGTGTAGCAGTGGCCTAACAGAGAGCAGCTTATCCCTCATGGCTAATGTTCTTGTGGAGGTGGACAGAAAAGCCAAAAGCAAACAGATAGGCAGACCAATGGCAATCAGGGCTGTGTGGGGGACGAGTAACGAGACGGAGAGGTGGAGGGAAGGTGGCTCACTTGGAGTGGGTGATGGCGGAAGGGCGGAGGTGACGTTTGAGCTGAAGGAAGAGGGAACTAGCCGTGAGGCGATGGAGGGGGAGAGTCTTCCAAGCAGAAGGCAGAGCAGATAGGAAGTCCTCGAAGGGAGGTTAGATCCGGCGCATTTGAGGAGCAGCAAGAGTAACTGTGGCCCTGGAGCAGGGTGAGCCGAGGAGAGTGGGGGGAGAGCTCAGAGAGGGAGGCTAAGGTCCGTGTCACATTAAAAGATTTGTCAGTCATAGTCACACGTTTAGATTTTACTCCAAATTTAGTGGATTTTCAAGCTTTATATATTAAAATATCTGGCACTTAAATATGGGCACTGGCTTAAGGGTAGGCAGTGAAATCGTTGTGCAGAATCAGCCGGTGTCCCAAGTTACCACTCAACGGCTTGTGCTGCTCAGCGCCCCCCGCCACCCTCAGCCCCAGCACAGGTAACGCCTGGGAGCTGGGTTGAAAATGCAGAACCTCAGGCCCCACCCCAGACATATGGGGTCAGCAGATGCATTTTAATAAGCTCCTCAGGTAACTCATGAGCGCATTAAAGTTGGCAAAGTGCTTCCTAAGGTGGAGACCCCAGCCTTGTCGGCATTTTGGAATCACCCGGGGAGCTGTAAGAACTTCTGATGCCTGTCGTCCCGGAGAGGCTGGTGTAACTGTTCGGGGGCACAACCAGGGCGTCAGGGACTCTGGGAGCCACTCATCCTCCAAAGGTTGAAACCACTGCCCTAATGTCGCAGTGAGTGACAGCAGCTGTTTTTCATGCTCGGCTGATGTCCCCTGCTTCATTTTTCTTTCTTTTCCCTCCAAGCAGTTCCCAAGGATTCACCTTTCTCTGGTCACTAAAGAAAGTGCTTCTCTCCCCTGGGGATTTTCAAACTGACCACCCTGAGAAAAGTTGGCTGGCTGGCTCTGAAGACAGATGCTGGCTTTTTGCTTGGGGAAGACTGTCATTGAGCTGACATCTGTGCGAATCTTCCTCTATTTTGAATGTGGGATGCCACCACAGCATGCTTTGACAAGCAGCGTGTAGGTCTGTGCCCAGGAACAGAAGCAGGAACCCCGGGATCCCTGGCAGACGCCGAGCATGTGAACACAACCACTGCGCCACGGGCCAGCCTGCAGATGCTGGCTTTTAATGTCAAGGGGTCAACTGCTCCACCAGGCCACAGACTGTCAAATGGAACAACCCTGAACAAGTTACAAAACCCACAATGTTCTTACAAAAGTGATCCTGAAGTTCTTGATTTCCTTCAAGTGAGAGACCTAGAATGAAGAACTCAACTCTCCGTCAGTCCCCAGCTTTTCAGAAGTCCAAGCCGCTGTGCGTCCAGGAAAGGACTTTTCTGCAAACTGAACAGTTGTAGAAATAAGCAGTTCTCCACTGCACACCTGCGTCGCTGAGGAGTGGTTCCTCCGCATCCCCACCCAGCACAGGAATGAGCCCCCGGGCCAGCCTTTCATCACTTCCTGGGCTGACCTCTGGAGCAGACGATAAGGGTCCCCTGATCCCTAAATCGCAGCAGAAGGTTTACAGCAGCTCTCGCTCCCTTCATAAAGTGATTTCCTCCCACATTAAACTTCTCATATTGGGATAAGATGGGTACAAGGGAAAGGAGAAAGAGACACTCCAGATTTTTAACGATTTAGCCTCAGGTCTTCAATGTAGTACTTCAAAGCATTCAGCTTAAATCGCCTTCCTAAAGTAGCATTACTTATTCAAGAGGAAAACCGCGAACACAGGCCTCATTCTCTTTAGGTTTTCTAAACCTTGAGCCTCAAAAGGTAGTTATCATTTTAAATCTACCGCTTGACAACTTGTTAGCAAAAGCATTGAAACTGCCTATGAAAAATCAGAGTAGAATGATAAATAACTGTGAAAATGCAAACTTTATTCAAAACTAATCTACAAATAATGAGACTGGGAGGAGAATGAAAATTTGACTTATTTCCCTTACTAATGATAAATATGATTATTCACCATCCAATGCTGCAAGAGAACTAAAGGACATTTTATGAAATATTTTTGCTTTTACAGGAGGCCTTAAAAAGGGAAAAGGGAGTTGTTACAAGCCATTGCCTTTCACAGTGGTGACGTTAAAGTCAGCCTTCTTCCTAATGTTCAACTTGTGAAAAAATATTCTCCTCTTTGAGTCCATTTGGAGGGTGTTCTTATGTTTGTTTTAAGCCTAAGCCAAGAATAACTGGAATTAATTCAAGAATTAAGCTCACTCATTCTGTAACATCTGGGCCTTTGTCAACTAGCCTTGCTTCTTCCTGCATTCACAATGTAATCGCCAGCACCACTCTTGGACTTTGAATTTCATTCCCCTCCTAAGGACTAGTTTTTCTTTTCTTCCTTTTTTTTTTTTTTTTTTTGAGGAAGATTAGCCGTGAGCTAATTGCTGCCAATCCTCCTCTTTTCGCTGAGGAAGACTGGCCCTGAGCTAACATACATGCCCATCCTCCTCTACTTTATATGTGGGACACCTACCACAGCATGGCTTGATGAGCAGTGTCATGTCCCCACCGGGGATTCAAACCGGCGAACCCGGGCCACCAAAGTGAAACATGTGCACTTAACTGCTGTGCCACCAGGCCAGCCCAGGACTAGTTTTTCTACTATGAGGACTGTCATCTTAAGCATCTGTAATGCAATCAGTAACTTCATGACCTATGCATTATATTTTCCAGGCTTTGACCCTGATGAAGTTTATTCCTGCTCTGGGGCTTTAGCACTGGCTGTCCTCCGCCTAGAATGTTCTTGCCTCAGCTCTTGATAAGACTGGCTCCTTCTTGTTATTTAATTCTCAGTTCATATGTGCCCTCCTCAGAGAGCCTGTACCTGACCACCCAGTCCAAAGTGGTCCCCCAGACAGTCTGTGTCATACCACGCCCAGCGCTGGTCACTGTCAGAAATGATTTGTTTTCTTTCTTTGTCTCTCCTTCCCACTAAAATGAAGCTTCCTGTGCTTGGGGTCCTGTCTGTCTGCTTACAGCTGTTTCCCATCACTTAGAATTATATCTGGGACATGATGGGTGCCCAGTAAATATTGCTGATTACCTTTCAGAAAAATGTCGTAAATTTGCTGTTACCATCTCATTCAGTTGTGGTAATTGGAATAAAACATTATGAACCTTTACCTTTAAGCCATCAGAAAGACAACAGAAATTTTTAAATATATTATTGCTTTTCAAAAGATTTGAAAATTACAGTTCTTCAATAACGAAAAATCAAATGAGGGAGGTAGAATTGCAAACCTGAGTTTTTTTTCTCCCAAAGTCAGAGAATACAAGAGAGATTGGATCTTTGATGCCATTTTAATTTCTCTCACTGTGACTAAAACTCAGATTGGATTCACTGTCTCAGAAAGACATCCCAGGCCACGGTAACGTAGAACAGGGAGGGTCAAGAAGAGAAACCTTGGCATGAAAGGCATCTGAGTAATATTGATAACCCATAGAACACTTCACAAGGAAATGTATCTCGAAGCAAGTCATTATAGTCATGAATCGGTCATTGGTTACCAATATATTTCTCTGTTTTGTTTCTGAAAAAAATATTTGTATATACTTTGCCTTGGAAGCACTGCTGATAATCTGATAAACCATAGCAATTTTAGGAGGAAGATACATTTGCTGTATTTTATCCTGTAATCCACTGCCCGAGTTAACAGAGCATTTAGGTTTTCTATAAACTGCCTTCTTCTCACATTCCTGATTGCTTTATTCCAGCTGCATATTCCACATCTGTTTAAGGGAGGATTTTAGTTTTTAAATCGCGTCTCCAGTTTTTGCACATAACGTGACTTATTTTTGGCTGTTCCGTTCCTGCAGGAAGATGAAGAGATCATCTGCTGCCTGGACCTTTGTTTAACTTGCTAGGTATTTAACTTGACTCTAATGTGCCAGATGTTACCCACTTGGCAAAACATTGCATTTTTACCCATCTGCGTGCTCTTCTCTACACTTAATTCTCCAGCTGTATTGCTCTCAGCCTCCTGCCTCTCTAAATAATAATATTGAAATGTTTCCCAAGAAACACGCCCCTACTTAGCTTTTACTTCCTTGTCCACAAGGAACTTGGAGTCATCTGCTCTTGCTGTCCAGGACCCTCTGGATCTCTTCCCCCGGTGCGAAAAAGAATCTCAGTTGCAATGCTGACATCCCATCTGTAAGGGTGAGATAGTTCCAAAGCTGACTAAGTCAACTGGGATTATAGCTCACTTCTAAATTCAACTAGGCACCCTGAAGAGCTTTAGCAAAGATGTTTACCTTTTCCGAAGAATGCACATAGATTAAGTATGCAAAGTAAGAGCAAGTCATGCTGTACCGGCATCAATGGATGCTGAAAGTATGTTTGTTTTAAAACCATTTTCCCAAGCCCCAAAACCTATTGAAAATATTTTAATGTCATTAACAAATATTACGTATTTAAATAATCTTTTAAGCTTATAAATCAACTATACCAGTAGAGCTCAGCACTTTAAAGTTAATTATTTAAACAACACCATTACTATTAGTTAATATCTCTTTTACAAATGCTCAAACTGAGAGGAAAGGAAAGTAACTCCTGATTCACTGGAAGGATAGGGGAAAAAAACAATTATTTGTATAATAACTAATGTTTATTGAGTGGTTACTATGTATCAGATCCTGTATAAAGAGATTTACATTCATTATCTCTTATAATATAAGGACCCTAAGGTAGATACTACTGTTACTGCCATTTAAGAGAGAAACATAACCCGATTATTACTTTGCCCAAGGTCACATGGTGGATAAGCAAAGCAGGCAAGATTCTAAATAGAGTGTCAGCACAATGAAAATTTACTTCAGATTTTTTAAATTATAAGTTAGGATTAGGAGAAGAAAAGCTATGGAGGCTGGGTTACTCTTTCCCATATTTTTTATTACGGTTACTTTTAAATACACACAAAGTAGAGAGTACACTCTAAAGCATTTCTGTATACTCATTATCCAGACACTATACTTATTAAACTTTTGACATTTTCCTTCATCTATCCTTTTTCCCTTTGCAAGATTCTTTTAAAGCAGATCCTAGATATCATATTATTTCATATCTACATATCTCAGTATGCATCTCTTAAAACTGTGGCCATTTTCTTACTGACTGAAATGTCAATATCAACCGAAAAAGGTTAAGAATAAATCTTTGGTGTTGGCTAATACCCAGGCCATGAATTTGTCTTAAAAAACTTTCTTCTTGTATTTAGCCTGTTCAAACCAGGAGCTAAATAAGGTCCACATATCACATTTTCTTGTAATGGCTCTTAAGTCTCTCTGAATCTAGAGTGGGCTACATGAACTTCTCCCCTATGTCATTGATTTGTCCTGGAGAATATTCCCTATTCTGGATGTGTCCGTTTCCTTCCCTGTGCCATCACTTAATTTGCTTCTTTCTCCCACAGCTTTTGTAAATGGAAGTGAGCCCCAGAGTCTTGATTAAGTTCAGGTTCACCATTGTTGGCAAGATACTCAAGTGTGTGGTGTTTTCATGCTGCGTCACCTCAAGCGCCACGCTGTCTGATTGTCCCTCTATATTTATGTTAAGATTGATCAGTGCATTTGTGTAGTAACTGCTGAGTTCCTCCGTTGTGAAGATACTCATCAGCCTTTCACCTACTGGTTTCATCCACTGACGACTGGTGTCTGAATTATTACACTAAGTATTGCGCGACAGTGACTTTCTAACTCTATTATTCCTTCCATATTCACTGTCAGTAAGTGTTCTGTGGAGGAGAACTTTCTGACAATTACTGGATCCATTGCTTAACTTGACACAGTGTTTGTACAAGGAAAGCTTAACTCTTTCCATTTAATTGTAAAACTCAGAATAAAAGTTGATGTCTTAGCAGCTACCAGTGCTGTCCAATGAGTTGGAGGAGACGAAGTTGGGGGAGACCAAGAGGAGGGCTTTCTCCACTTCTCTTTCCCTTCCCATTAGTTCCATTTTGAATTTATCTTAATAAATGTACATCTATATCACCAAATTCATTGGTGTCTAGTGTTCTATTGTTTGGCTGGATTTATGGTTCTCAAATTGTGATCCTTGGACCGGCAGCATCAGCATCACTGGGGAATTTATTAAAAATGCAAATACTGGGGCCGGCCCTGTGGCGAAGTGGTTAGGTTCGCGCGCTCTGCTGCAGGCAGCCCAGTGTTTCGTTGGTTCGAGTCCTGGGCGCGGACATGGTACTGCTCGTCAGGCCATGCTGAGGCGGCGTCCCACATGCCACAACTAGAAGGACCCACAACTAAGAATATACGACTATGTACTGGGGGCTTTGGGGAGAAAAAGGAAAAAATAAAATCTTTAAAAAAAAAAAAAAATGCAAATACTCCAGCTCCACTCCAGACCTACTGAATCAGAAACTGCGAGTGAAGCCAAGAAAGAGATGTTTTAACAGGCCCTCAGGGTGCTTCTGATCCTCACAAAATTGGATAACGAGTGGATTCTCAAATCATATTTGAATTAACCATCCATTTATTGTCGCTATTATAACCTTGCCTCGCACCCTCAACCTCATCTGCTTCATTTTAGGATAATAAGCTCGTTTTAAATCCTTTTCCAGCGAGCCCATAATTGTGTGCTGGCTTTTTTTTTTCCTCTTCCCTTTGGTTTTGTTTCTGCTTCCAATTTCAGAGTTCATCTCAGGTTTTGGCAAACTCAGTTTTAGGTCTTTTATTTTTCTTACATAATGCCGAAGTTTGTTAGAAACAGTAAAATATTTACAAGAAGCATAAAAATAAGGATCCAATTTTCATGTAAGAAAATGTAATCCATTTGTTTCTTAAACAGGAAGACAAGGATAAGAGACAAGGAAGGTGGACAGAGTTCATCTGCAGCAGCTGCTTTGTTGAGCAGTGGACTAAAAAAAAATATTGTTTCCCAAAGCAAAGTCAGTGCTTTAAAATATATATACATTTAAATCTTGTGGGTTTTGTTTTTTTGAGGAAGATTAGCCCTGAACTAACATCTGCTGCCAATCCTCTTTTTTGCTGAGGAAGACTGGCCCTGAACTAACATCCACGCCCATCTTCCTCTACTTTTTATGTGGGACGCCTACCACAGCATGGCTTGCCAAATAGTATGTAGGTCCACACCCAGGATCTGAACCCGCAAACCCCAGGCCGCCAAAGCAGGACGTACAAACTAAACTGCTGTGCCACCAGGCCGGCCCCCTAAACCTGGTTTTTAACCAATGTACTACTTGAGATCATCACCAAATCCAAAGCAGATACTGGATCTATCTTAGAATCACTAAGAAAGAGTCTTCCTCTATAATATTAAATGTCAGCGTTGGAACTTTGCTGAATCTCATGAACAACTATCAAGATGTCATTAAATTGAAAAGGAAAGTAAATATATATCTTACAACTAGTAAACCTACAATGTTAATTTTTATTAAGGTTGAAACATTCTCCCCATGACA